TATAAGTAATTTTGACTAAGATTTTCACTGTACTTGCTGATTTTAGAAGTTAACGCTCACTTAAAATGCAAGACTCCACTATATATGCATGTGTATATACATACAAACACAAGATTTACTGAACTGAATAGATAATAAATCCAGAGAAAATATTAAATGTTGGTCAGAAATAACTTATCAGTTTGCACAGATCTTTAGTAACCCTAATTTATATTGCTCTAGAGAGGGTACTTCTGCCAGCTATGATCTTTAATGGGTAATACAGGTCGACAGTTATGAAGTGTTTATTGCCATTTTCTTTACTTACTTGCTTTTAATTTTGTAGTCCTTGAGCAAAATCTTTATGAGGTTGGGTTTCTGTCTCTAGAGTGGAACTTTCCTCAAGCATCTTTGTGCTTGGCACTGAGCTTCCTGAGTAAAGGTACATTAGATCCAAAGTATCATAAAACCCTGAAAGAACTCTTATGATAGGGAATCTATAATGATAAAATCCTTGCATTCACTCATGAGTTTACCCAGCAGATATTTATGGACTCCTAGACAATGTGCTGGGTGTACTTGTCTTCTGCAGTGCCTTACCCTCTAACTAGCTTATCTTCAATAAAAAGTTCAGCTCTGAATACAAAGACTATTGGTATTTAAATAAAGTATTGGTATTTGGTTAGCATACCTTTAGAGAGAATGTCTCTGTCATTGACTTAGGAATGTGAATTGTTTGAACTTGAGGCGTTTTCCATAACTCTTGCAGCTTGGCTATGTGTGAGTTCATTTTGTGTCCATCTTTGAATCTATCTGTAGGCAAGGACATTATTATGTGAATTTCATGAGCAAAGATCAGTTTAACAAATTAATTATTAAGATCCATCTATTTACATGTGTCATTGATTATCCTGGAATACCAGTATGAGTCAGACTGTTAAATCTGAAGAGACATTATGATATGCCATTTGGTTTTAGAGCACACAAAAATCTAAGATATTTATAAATATTTACTATATATAATGATATGTAATCATTACATATGGACAAAATTATTTTGAACTCAGCTGAGATGCAAAATGTTGACAGTAACTTATTTCTTTAGTTTATTGTATGTCAGACCATACTAAACGGAATATACATGCAGGATTTGTGCTTTAAAGATTTTCAAAAATATTTTATCATTCATTTGCCTTCAGTATATAGTTTTGAAATTCTATTCTGCATTAGACTCAAGATAGAATAACACACATTTTATCCCTTTAATGGGGCAGTGTTAAAATGAAGAGCTTTAGAGACTTCCCTGGTGGCGCAGTGGTTAAGAATCCACCTGCCAATGCAGGGCACACGGGTTCAATCCCTGCTCCGGGAAGATTCCACATGCCGTGGAGCAGCTAAGCCCATGCGCCACAACTACTGAGCCTGCGCGCCTAGAGCCTGTGCTCTGCACCAAGAGAAGCCATCGCAGTGAGAAGCCCACGCATGGCTGGAAAGAGTAGCTCGCCGCAACTAGAGAAAGCCCACGCGCAGCAACAAAGACCCAACACAGCCACAAATAAATTAATTAATAATAATTTAGGGCTTTCCTGGTGGCGCAGTGGTTGAGAGTCCACCTGCCGATGCAGGGGACACGGGTTCGTGCCTTGGTCCGGGAAAATCCCACATGCCGCGGAGCGGCTGGGCCCGTGAGCCACGGCCACTGACTCTGCACGTCCGGAGCCTGTGCTCCGCAACGGGAGAGGCCACAACAGTGAGAGGTCCGCGTACCGCAAAAAATAATAAATAATAATAATAATAATAATTTTTTAAAAAAGAGAAACTGCCATCAAGGTGGTTTCATCTTCTATAAAAAATAAAAATAAAAAAATAATAGTTAAACGCAACAAACAACCCAATTGAAAATCGGCAAAGGGCTTGAATAGACTTTAGATGTCTCCAAAGAAGATATACAAATGGCTAATAAACACATGAAAAGATGCTCACTACCACTAATGATTAGGGAAATGCAAATCAAAATCACAGTGAGATATAACTTCATACCCATAAGGATGACTATCATCAAAAAAACAGAAAACAAGTGTTAGCTGGGATATGGAGAAATTGGAGCCCTGCGCACTGCTGGTGGGAATATATTGAATAAAATGATGCAGCTGCTGTGGAAACAGTATGGCGGTTCCTCAAAAAAAGCAAACAGAATTGCCATATGATTCAACAATTCCATTTTAAAACAACCACATGTATATAAAATAAATAGTGATATGTATGTATATACACGCAGATATGTGTGTGTTTTTCCTAGGTAACTGTTAGGACTATAAATTTTCCAAGGAAAAGCAAAGTGAATTCAGGTTTATATATCATTGAATTGAAATTGCTCCCCTCAAAAAATTAGTGAGAGGTCTTGGGGGCCTGTCTTAACCTCTTACCTCCAGCAGCTCTATCTTTTACTTCAAGTGAGAGGAAAATAGCAGCATTGAGAAATATTTTATGTTCTTTGAAGTTGAATAATTTAGAATTTTTTCCTTCAACCTGTGTATAAACCCCAGGTTGTGTTCTGTCCTTTTCAACCAACATCAGTTATAAACACAGTTCTTTTCAGATTCATTGCAATTTTGAAGTACTCTTTTGATGTGAGATATCTTAACAGGAGACAAAGAACCTGCTGGATTGTTGTTTGAAAATCTTGAAGAGTTTACCAAGGATGCTAATGAAGACTTTTTAAAATTCCATTGTGTGAGTAGTTATAGCAAAACTGGCTTCTCTGAGCCATATTACTGATACATATTATCTGCTTTATATGCTCTACTCACCAATACCTTTGGAATTCTGGTAATAAGAATATCCAGCAGATCTGTTTTAAAAAAAAAAAAAGGGATGTAAATAATATGTAATAATTGACAGCTTTATAAGCATTAAAGAAAGTATTTTAAATGAAAAAAGGACAGTATTGCAGATGCTTTTTACTTTTCATGTTTCCATCAGATAATAATGTCTTGCAAATCTTCTGTAATTCTGGCTTCTTCAAAATGGGTTATCTGAGATTTTTACCATTCTGTAAAGGATTTACTTTAAGCCAGATTTGGCTTTACTTTTATAGCCACCTAATCTAATTCCTACACCGAGTTCAATAAAGTTGTTTGGGCTTCTGTGCTATCCATGATATTTTCTTCCTTTATTTTTAATAAAGTAATTTATTGTATGTAATTTAAGGTGAACTGGAACTGATAAGTTGGTCTGGAATGTTGCTAATTTTGTACAAGTTCATTTTTTCTTTTCTCAAATTGACAAACACTCCTTTTCCTCTTCCTGCAATTTATTCAATGACCAAGAATTCATTGATCCCCTAAGATACTGGGATCCAGAACTTTGCCAAGCGCTGTGACAAACAGAAAAGAAACACACAATCCCATCCTGTCTTTAGAAATCCTCAATCCACAAATACATTTTTTTTAAAAAAAAAAAACATGGCCATGGGTGCAGCAGGAGCTATGACGGTGGGCTTGAGAGGAACACCGGGCAATTCTCACTTTTAGGGAATAACTCATGAAAGGGATGAGGAGGTACTGCCCACAGCAGTAACTTCAGCAACTAATTGTCTTCAGCATCCAGGAAATAATAGTAAAAACCTGCTCAAAATGAAATGGATTTATGAAAAAGGAACTACTGAGTGAAGAAAATGTTAAAATCAAGGTGTCTCTAAGATTCAGAGTCATCTGTCTCATAACAGATTATGAATCCCAATTTGACATAAAGGTGGCTAATGTCACACACAGGGAAATGATTTGACTTGGAAGCACTTCTTTGAACCACTGTTCCCTTGGTGCCCCCCAGCCCCCCAACCCCACCCCGCCAACCCCTTTTATGTAGAAGTACGTTGACCAGACCGCAAAATTTCCAGCAGATTTCGTAGCGCCCCCTGGGGCAGAAGAGGCACCCAGGCGACTGTCGCAGTCACCGCGTTTAGTCAGTCATTGCACCAACCCTCTTCCTAAGCTTCCCTCAGAAGCCCTTCCCCTAAACTGAGTCGGCTTCCATATTTCCCATCGCGGCCACAACAAAGGTTCTCTCTTCCTCTCACTTCAGTACATTGGGGACCAGTCTACTGGAGCAGCCTGCTCCTACCCCCTCCTCTACCCGGGGATCACGACCCGGGGCTGATCGCCATCTTCCCAAACCCCTCAGGGCCCCGCAGCCTCACCCGCCGCCGCCACCCTCGGCCCTGGCCCCAGTGGGCGGCTCTGTGGAAGAACTGCACTCCGTCCACTCGGACGCTGGACCCTGGCCGGGCATCTCCTCCCGGGTGCCCTGACCGCGAGCTATGTGCGGGAGAAGCTTTCCCCTTTCCCCTCCCCTGTCAGCACGCGTGCGTCAGGCAGGGCGATACTGGGGGTGAAGAGGCAGACGCCGGATTCTAGCCCCCTCCGATGAAGTCCGGACACTGCCCGAACAGCTTCGGGAGAGCGGGGAGGGCAGATCCACGATCCTGGAGTTAAGTTGGGGGAGGGGCGGGAGTCCTTCAGTTGATTGAGCGTTTGTATGTTTGCATCTTTTTGTGGAAGGGATGCGTCACGGAAAGGAAGTATACCTTCCCTCTAAAACGGAAGGTGCCTTCCACCTCAGTATCCAGATCCTCTGCAAATTTGTAAATCTCGAGGGTCACCATATAGGTCAAACATCAGTACGCAAATAAAGGACCAAAGCACGCGGCTGAGGGATGCAGTGTTATGGTTGTCCGTTATCACCAAGGCAACCAGACCTCGCCAGAATCCCAACCTTCTTTTTCAGTCAACTACTTCTGCGCACGCGCAAACCCTCCCCGGGCTTTTCGCAAAACGCGTTTCACATGGGATTTGGCCTTCTGAACACCCCGTAGTCAGAGGCGCGGCAGAACTGAAGACGCAAAAGGAATTTGGACTGCGGTTTGTAGTCAGTCGTGTTCCGGGAACTCAGTGGGCGTCGCGCGAAGGCTGAAGGGAGCGTCG